TGCCCCAACCAATGAGAAGAAAAGGAGCCAAGATAGAGGCGCGTGCAAGCAACGGCTGATTTTTGGTGAATTTTTGAAAAAATTATTCGTTTTTGGGGATTTGTGTCTTCCCCATGGGGAATTTTGGGGATCCGACTTTTGATTCGTCAATCTAAAATCAGGCTCTATTATGGGCCAAAATTTCATCTTCGTAGCAGGGCTGGAAGTACGAAAGTGGGTCTAAAAGTGTCGATTTCACGTAGGTACCAATACGACGAGGACAAGGACGTAAAGTCAAAATCAAAATCTGAATGCGGATCTGAATCTAAGTGTTTCTTCGAAATTCTTTCAGGGTCCCTGCGCCATTAACTAGGCAAACACTTCGTGAAATGACAAATACACTTTTTCCCAAATGTCAAATTCTGAATTGCTTCATCCAATATATTTTGATGTTCATACCTATTCAAATGGCGTGTGCATAATGATTAGTGAAATGTTCTAATGCCAAACCACACTAACTTCTTTGCGTTTCATTACAATGTATTGAACTCCATACACCTGAATGATGAACTAGTGACCACATTAGTCATCCCTGTCAAGAATTATTCCTAATGGCATCAGCAGAAAATTTGTTTTTGAAATGTAGCAATCTAAAATGGAACTCTTAACGATTTCAAGTTACAATGTGAACACATAAGATCGAAACACGGTGTTTATTGACACTCGTCAAGGGATTTTCTTGATTATTGAATAGTCTGAAATGTTTTGGCTAAAGCGGGTCAATTTCTACGGTGCCTGCAACAGCATTCAGCCCGCCGTCCTGACGAAGGCGTCAGCAGTCATGAAATGAACCTGGCAACCACACATCGTGGTCCTGGCGAAGGCATCAGCAGTCATGAAGTGAATCTGGCAACCACATGTCGCGGTCTTGACGAAGGCATCAGCAGTCATGAAGTAAACCTGGCAATCGCACGTCTGCCACCATTGATTGCAACATTGGAGAGTTGATGCAGCACAACACTGCCTTTTTTGATAATGGGCAATATCCCTAAATGTGAAGAGAATTATGAACAAACTAGGTTGAAGTTTTTTAATGGATAATGGTAGCAGCAATGGAAATAACACAGGAGGAAAACAGAAAATTGTAGAGCACAATGGAGGCTCAAAAGAAGGCAAAATTTCATATTTGCAACAAAATTCACTTATCCCAAGTTACTCAAGTGCACAATTTTTTACTTGCATCAACAATCTTTGTTGCACTCAACTTGGCTACATTTAAATATTGTGTTATGTGGCACTCTGTCAAAAGCATCACTAGCCAGGCAGTGTGCCTGACGGCATTTGTTGCAATAGGATCCAGGAAAACAATGCTTCACTGGTGGTCTCCACCTTGCCTACAACCTTCTTACTACAGCTTTCCATTCAATATTTTTAATATGTTTTTATTAACGATTAATCAAGAAGCAATCACAACAAGAATGAACATAGTATGTACAGGGAACGATACAAGGAAAAGACACCAGTGCAAAACCAAGGCATGGGGTTCCACTTAACCTTGAATGACTTGTATATCAGTTTACTAGCGTTAACCTAATCAAAAAGGCTTAAGATAATCAAACCTAATCAAACCTGTGTCTAGCCTGTGAAGAAAGGATGACTGTGTGCTTGTGTTGAAAGTGAACATTGATGCCAAAATGCAAATTAAGGAGTGCATTTAATCCACTACTATTACAGGTATACATGGTTAGGTCTATGAGTCATTTTTATGCAGTGAACTAACAATTACCACTCTGAGTTATACTCCCACACCAAATGATGACATGCATTTGCACCTCAGGAAAGGGGGTTTGCAAGGACCCCTAGTAGGTATGGCCTACTTCCTTGCAGAGCAACTAAAAGAGAGCTTCCCACAACCATGCAAACTTGCCATCATATCCTCACATTGATGAGAATCCTCTACTAGCAAACCAGTAAGGCAAGGCAAATCAATCTAAATCATTTTGTTGGTCCAACAGATTTCCATAAATTTACTAGTAACAATAATTGTTGCTATATAGGTTTTTTATTTAAATTCAATGTCATTCTAAAGTGCGTCTGTTGTAATTTTTCACCCATGCGGATCAAAGACATCCAATCAAACATCAAATCCTTTTATGAATTGTTCTAAATTTCTGAAACTTCTTCAAAATTGAGTTTGTCATCCTTTTCATTGGGAAATGGAATCTCATTAGACCACCTATGTTGAGCTTCCCAACTTCTGGGTGCAACATGTGGATTAATTTCTTAGTTTACAAGAAATGCTGCATCCATATTATGAATAAAAAGTCTCTAAATTTTAACATTTTTATTATGACTCACCAAAGCGACTTTTGCATACTATAGAGGTATAGCATTATATTACAACAAAATGTACCACATAAAGTGTTAAAAATGAGCTAAAACAAATGCTCTATTTATTTAATATCAAGTTTTTTTCATGTCAATTCCAAATGTAAAGATAACTGACCAGAAGCCATGTCCACAGAAACTGCTTGTGCCAGAATATCTTTGTAATAATTTCCCTTGAATAGTATAACCAGCATGTTACTTGCATACAACACTTTTTGATAAAATTAGCAACAGAATTCTTGAGATTTGATGTTGCAGGATCCAGAATGACCATTTTCTGTAACTTTGGAGAATATTTAGGCCAGGCAATGGCCGATTTAGCCGATACATACTCCGGGTCAAGCTCCTACATATTCAAGCTGCTGCATATGCAGAGTTAAGCTGTTGGGTACCTATGCCAAATTAGACTACTGCGTCCGACTTGTGAAGCTGCAATGTATGCCGAGTTATGATGCCCATGATGCCACATACGCCAGGTCAAGCTGCTATGTACGCTGGGTTAAGCTGCTATGCATGCCAGGTTAAGCTGCTACAGAAGCAAGACTTGATTGGTCAAATACAATAATGAAACAAACACCCTGTTTTAGCAACAGGTAAATGTGGTCATTCAGACAGCAACTAATGTATTGGTCATGAGCTCAGCAGGAGGACTACTGCTTGGATACAAGAGTCGGACACGATCTCGTTCCTGACCATTTGGTGGTTGAGATCAATTGTGCTGCCCAGTTTAAAGGATAGTATAACAGCCACCATGGAAATAGGGATATTTTGTTTTAACTGCAATATAACAAAAAAAATGGAATTGGTTTTAAAGCAGTGAAATTCAATAAGCAGTGAAATAAAAAAAAATAACAAAATAGAATCGCTCATCTTAAAACTTATGCCATTACATTGAGGCTAGTTTAGCATCAATCAATCACATTCAGTAAAATCTGCCACCAAGATCATAAAACAAATGTTGACACCAGCAAAAGAAATAAAATTCAATGAATTAAAGCCATGGCAAGTTTTGCAAGGTTACTGTACTACTAGTATAGGTAGTCAATCTGTTGTACAACTATCCTAGTGTATATTCTGCTATCAGAAAATCATCTGTAAAGATAGTAACCGTCAGGTAACTGAAACACTGTTACCTCCAAAACCATGACTGCCTCTCTTATGACACCAACAGTTTCCAGCATCTCGTGCAAGCAACACAAAAAATAGTTGCAGAGATTCCAATGAAGGAGCATTTAGGCCCCAACAAGCATGAGCCTTTGTCATTATATTTCCTATCCACGCCCTCTCCAGCATCTTCCACCTTTGAGGGGCATTAAACAGCTTAGCCACTCTTCATTGTTGGCAGTGGGTGCCATGGGCTAGGTACTCTACATGGCTTGGTCCTTTTTTTAAGATCAAATTTTATGCACTAGATTCCTGTTTCAAGCTCCCTACACTCACATGCTTCCTCACACCTGGGTCACTGAAGCAGTTTCTGATGGTCTCTGGAGAGCAGATGCTGTACAAACATGCATTTTCGTCACACATATCTTCACACTTAGAGCACAGATGGGTCTTTTTGTGTTGAATGTCTTCGTAGAAAATGTCTTTTCAAGCTCCCTTTTGTGGTGCAAGCATAATCGCACTCAGAGCATTGTACAGGTTTCTCTGTTGAATGTTTGTAAAGAAAATGACTTTTCAAGAGATCTTTTGTTGTACATGTATAATCACACTTGGAGCACTGAAAAGGTTTTTCTGTTGAATGTTTGCAAAGAAAATGTCTTTTCAAGTTCTCTTTTGTGGTGCAAGCATAATCACACTCGGAACATTTTACAGGTTTCTCTGTTGAATGTTTGTAAAGAGAATGTCTTTTCAATTGCCCTTTTGTAATGCAAGCATAATCACACTCAGGGCACTGATTAGGTTTTTCTGTTGAATGTTTGTAAAGAAAATGTCTTTTCAGGTGACCTTCTGTAGTGCATGTATAATCACACTCAGAGCACTGAAGAAGTTTTTCTTTAGAGTGTTTGGAAAGAAAATGTTTTTTTAAGACCCCTTTCATAGCGCATGCATAATTACACTTGGTGCACTGAAAAGTTTTTTCTGTTGAATGCTTGAAAAGACAATGACTTTTCAAGGCCCATTTTGTGGTGCAAGCATAATCACACTCAGAGCAGCAATATTTCTTTATTAATGAATGTTTGGAAAGGCAATGCTTGTGCAAGATTTCTTTGCAACCATCAGCACATTTACTTTGAGAGCATTTCTGCACATTTCTCTGAGGATGATGTAGGAGAATATGTTGTTTGAGATCAGCTTCAGTGGCACACAAATTCAAACAAAACTGGCATTGGTGCTCATTTCTGCACAAATTTTTGTAGTTAATATGCTCTGGCATTGATTTTCTTGTGGTACCCAATTGTTCACAGTCATGGAACTTGAATGATTTTTCCATGTGTTGCTTGGAGCTGAACACCCCAGAGACGCCAGCGCTGCCAGCAGCGTCTCCTGATGCTGGCGCTGACCCACCTTTGCCAAGCTAATGATAAAAATACACAGTAAAACAATTTCCTATATAAATAACATTCACAGAACTGTTGACATTTATGTTTTGATTCTTATTAAAATTTTGATTGTTTCAACAGAAATTCAAAATTGTAACAAATATTTTAAAGATTTGGGAATTTTTACCCAGTATGTTCTGGTCCATAAAAGGATTACTCAGCATTAATACTTGGCCTGAGCAAAAAAAGAGAGCTACCATTACCGGGTCTCAACTTCAGCCGTATATTATGGCTTTAATTTAATGCTGATAAAACTGAAATGGAAATTACTACTCATGTAGAGTAGTTAGATGAGAAGTGCAATAATTTCATAATACTTCAGATACATTGATTTTTAAATATGGAATCTAATTTTCAATGGGACTATGGCATTGATAATGTTTGAGACACTTTGACAGCAAGGAAAAACACAACTTCTTCACCATAGCCTGAAAATCACTATCACTAAATATACACTCAACTTCATAAGACCACAAACATCCCAGTGCCATTCCAACCCTCATGTCAAAATCGATAACCAACAGCTTATGTTCGAACACAACCCAAAAATACTTTGCCTAACTTTTGATGCCATGCTTGTTTTCACCAACCACCACAAAAAATGGCAGTAAAAGCCTCAAAATGGGATGACATGCTAAAAAACCCTCGCATGAACATCATATGGACAATATCAGAAATACCTATACCTACAACAAACCAACTAAACTATCTATCATCTCATAATCAACTATGCATACTGAATCTGGACTCCTACCACATCTTCAATTACCTCCAATGGCCATAATCAACTATGCATACTAAATCTGGACTCCTACCACATCTTCAACTACCTCCAATGGCCTCCAAACAGTTCAAAATATCACCTTCCATACATAACTGGTTGCCACAAACCAACAGCAAAAAACCTTCACTCCAAATATCAAATACTGAAAATTTTAGAAGAGAAGGATACTCCACACAAATTCACCATATCTTTATTGAAAACATTTAGGAGTCCAGCTCCATCATCAGTTGAAAAAATCTAGTACATGAATAAAATAAGTTAAAGCAGTCAAAATTAAAAAAAAAACACTGAAGTTAAAACCTAAATTTACAGACAAAAGACAGAGTAAGAAAGTGAAAAATAAAAAATATAAAAAATGGCAAAACCTATCTATTCACAATTTTTAATGGATAAGAGCTAAAGGTTGCATTTTAAGGATGCTTGGCTTGCTAATTGTCTTCTTGATTTTAAGTAAATGTCCTTCAACAAATCTGTCAAGGATACCTTCCTTATTTTTAAGCATTCCTCTTGTGTTAAACTTTTCTTTGATTACCTAAACTTGCAACATAATTCTATTAAATTTCCAATGGAACTTGAATCTAATAATAGTTTGTACTTTCTCAACTGAATTATTACTGAATCTAATGGCAGTTTTCAGACATCTGTTTACCAAAAATTGACTTTCACCGCTCTAAGCACCAGCTTTTAAAGCATTTTTGCAGGTTGAACGGGCTTCAAACACTATTACAATGGGGCTTTTGTATTTGTTCTACTTTTCATGCCATGCATACTGAATTTGAATTTTGGTGCAATATCTTCTTGCTCAATGAATTTCCTTCAAGCCCAGTGTTTAGCTAAATTAAGAAATTCATGTCCAAAGGATACAGTGAGGTTGTTCCAGAGCCAAATTGTAGGAGCATTGTTTATTGTTCTTTTCCATACTTTGGCCATGCATCCAAAGCTCTGTCCAACAATTAAAAGATTTGTTCATGAAATTGTTCCCAAACTTTAATCTTCATATTTTATAGTGGAACAATTTTAAAATATGTTCTTTCTTTGGGTATACAGATGCTTGAACACAACCCAAAACAAATCAAACAATTTTAAAACAGGTTCTTTCTTTGGGTACAAAGAAGCCCTCCCTTTTCATATGCAATTGTCTCTAGCTTATATAAATGTGCACAATGTTCATCTGCATATGTTGGGATGACCTCAGGCAATCTTTATTCTAAAGTTTCTGAGCGAAATGGGAGGAATTGTAGGGCTGGGCAGTTACTAATGTGTCTTCCTTATTTGGCTGTGCACACTCACCCGAAATAGTGCTACGTTCCAGTGTCCAACAGTAGCTCAAGGTTTTGGCTTCCTGTTCTGGTACTTCAAATCTGCATATTTTCAAATAGATACCTAGTTTAAATGCACCTTTTAGCTTTATCTACTATTAAAATTGATTATCTAATTGTGTTATTGTTTATATGCTTATTGTTAGTCTTGTGTTAGGCCACAAAATCTACGCTCATTAGCCTAATTTTAATTATCGTTTTCAAGACCTCCTGCTGAAACTGTATTATTACTCATGTTCAATATCTTGCTTTTCTATAACTTAATTTTAGTTTGTGAGACTGTGTTTTCATTTTTGTTCCATTAAAATGCATGTTAGCACCTCGGCATTTGCTCGTTCAAGATCTTTTACTACTGGCTTTATGCCAGTGGTTGAAACCCATTGGGTTGCTGGCTCCTTGGAGCTTCAATGGTTTCATTGTTCTTAAATTTCCATTTGTACCAAAATCCAATACCAATAGAAATAATGAAGAGAAAGGTTTTGCCTGTTTTTTTTTTTTTTACTTTCTTACCCTGTCTTTTGCTTGTAAGTTTAGGCTTTAACTTCTGTTTTTTAACTGCATTAACTTCTGATTTTATCTGTATTTTAGATTTTTTGATCTGACAATGAAGCTAAACTCTAAAATGTTTTCAATAGAGATATGGTGAATCTGTATTGATACCAATAGAAATAATGAAGAGAAAGGTTTTGCCTGTTTTTTTTCTTACTTCCTTACTCTGCCTTTTGCTTGTAAGTTTAGGTTTTAACTTCTGTTTTTTTACTGCATTGACTTCTGATTTTATCTGTATTTTAGATTTTTTGATCTGACAATGAAGCTAAACTCTAAAATGTTTTCAATAGAGATATGGTGAATTTTCACCTTTAAATTTTCAGTGAATATGTAATTTAAGCTATCTAGTGGCATTAATACATATGTAAAATCAAATACTCACCACCAGATAACACACCAACCTCCTTCCCACCCAATAACTACTGCAATGTCTGCACCTGCAACACCCCTGCCACCAAATCACATGACAGAACCACCAATCCTACAACTTAGAAGACCATCTGTATGTCATTCAGACAATGCCACCAAACATAAGTCATCAATTTTATCCCTAAATGCCCACAATAAATTAAAACATTTGCAACATTAAACTGGGAAATTGTTTCAAAATTTCTAGTTATAGTGCGTATTAGTAGAAGCTAAAGTTATGTATATATACCTGATTCGAGAACAATGCAGAAATGTTTTGAGAGGAGTTTGGGTGGGTGTCATGAGCCTCAAGTTTAGCTTCTGTCTTGCATGGTAAACCAGGAAGATATTGATTCGAAGAGGCCTGGGGAGAAGTGGAGGATAATATTAATGAAGCTGACAGTGATATGTGCATTTTAGATAGGATGTAATGTATAACTACTCATTGAAGTCTCTGCAAGGTCCGAATTTCCTCAATAGCAAATGAATGTTGTATCATCAAAATTGCTGGCTGGGAAACGTTTCCTCATATTGATGTTTCATGATACAAATGTTCTGCTTGCCAGTTCTCAAATTATAATGGAAAAATGAAAAAAAGATGGCAATTTCAGGAGAAAATGCACACTTCTAGTAAGATTTCATTGGATCCAATTGGCATACATTAATGTTCTCAGCACCTCTTTCTTTGCTTTGTATTTGGATAGTTTTGCATGGTTCCTGCAAATAGAGGTCATCACATTTCATTTTTATTTCCTGCCAATAAAAACCATCACATATCATTGTAATTTGACAACAGACAACTTTTAAACAAAAAAAAAGGGTTTGATTTTAGAATAGTAATCTTAATGCAGGAAAATATTAATCAAATTTCCTACAACTCTTAACCAATAATTGAATCAGGATAAGGCTTCTTCACAATTAATTATTATTGCTAAGGGGACCCTCTACCCTCCGTAAAAACTTCTAGTTATTATCCGATCATTGTGAAACTTCACATACAGACTTAAAATGTAAAAAAAAATAACATTTTGCTTGTATGAATTTTTCGAAAATATTGATAGAAAACGTGATATTCATAGAAAACGGCAAAAAACGGGTACTATAGAAAATCTATCTCCTCCTACAAATATTGTCTTACAACATTGAGACACATATCATTCGATTCGTAAAGACCATACCTATTGACCAACCCATCACTTTTTTCATTTTCCCATAGTTTTTTTTATGCGCATTTTTCCCATTTTTCTACTTTTTCCCTGCCCCCCCCTCCTCCCCCATATATATGATGATCCATGCTCAAATTAAAAAAAGTGATGGGTTGGTCGATGGGTATGGTCTTTACAAATCAAATGATATGTCTCTTATTGCTGTAGCTTGAAAACTGTAGGAGCAGATAGGTTATCAAAAAGAAAAAATACGAAAATTTAAATTGTTCAGGGGAGCTAAATAAAGTAAAATTCATTGAAAACAGAAGAATATGCCCAAAAAAAGTCTTGATATTGTAGCCCAAGCTTTCCCATTGCCAATTAGGGTACCAGCAAGCATCTTTAGACCTATTTATGTCAAATTTAATGTGAATAATAAGCTATAAATTTGACTTTTTATATATAAATATATATATATGAAATATTCATTTTACATAACGTTACAACTGCATTATGCAAAAACTATTGCACGTACATCAATGGTAGTAGCTTTGTTGAACGCATCTTGTTTGTTGCTTTCAAACGAGTGCAAACACTTTGCAATTAACCTAAATAATGACATATAAATACCATTTATTAGTGAATAATGTTATAAAATGTTCATTTTATAAAAGTCTAAGACTGCAATACACGAAAAAATATTGCATGTACATCTATGGTAGTAGCTTTGTTGAACGCGTCTCGTTTGTAGCTTTCAAACGAGTGCAAACACTTAGTAATTAACAATAGTAATGATCTATATATACAGATTTAATTCAAATAAATCTTTGTACATATTGTTAAAAAATGTTCATTTTATATATTTTTTAAATTGTCTCTGCGCAAAAACTATAGCACGCACAGACATGCGCTAAACTGCATTAGACGCGCTTTTTCAGCAGCTACAAAATGAGTCAAGAAAACAGAAAAGCCAAAATTTCCAATTTTTAGGGTAGACAGTCCCCTTAATAATTCATACTAAATACCTGGTTAAGTCTTGTAATCTGATGCATAACTTGGAGTTTTGATTACAGAGATCCCTTTCATCTAGCTATTTGTTTAATGAAAATTTATGCAAGAATTTCAAATGCTTTGCTAAACATTTATTTGCATATCAACTCCACATACCACATTTCCAAATACGAATGGTTCCTCTTTGATGTATACTTCTTCAGTTTCATCCCTAGGTTCCTCTTTGATGTAGATAGCAGTAACATCGAGGACTGGCAGAGGATCAACCTTTTCCAAGGCTGGAAAATATATACATTAGCATATTAATGTCACTTATTTGCTTAAATTGCAAGTTGACTAAAAATTTAAAAAGCAAAGAATAGTCCACAAAAAATCATATCTTTATAGAAAACATTTCGGAGTCCAGGTTCCATCGTCAGTTCGTATAATCTAGAAAATACATAGAAAGTCACAAGTTAATACAATTGAAAGCACAAAACACAATTAGAACTTAAATTTACAAGTAATAGGTCATAAAAACCTATCTATTCACAATTTCAAGGGGATAGGAGCTCACAGTTGAATTTAAACTGGGCCTGAGCTTAAAAATGAACAATGATTCTAAGATACGCAAATCTGAAGTACCGGAGGTAGAAGCTAACACCCTAAAGTCACTGTCAGAAACAGGCACATCACGCTGCTCGGCGTGAGTGCGCACAGCCGAATGAGGGGAGCGCGATAGCAACTGTCCAATCCTACAACTCCTGCCCTTATGCTCAGCGATCCTGGAATAAAGATTGCGTGACGTCATCCCGATGTACGCAGATGCACATTGTGCACAACGAAATTGATAAGACAGGGACGATCGCATATGAACAGGGAGCATGTCTTTATATCTAAAGAAAGAACCAATTTTGAAACTGTTTACCAGAACAATGTGGAGTTTAACGTTTGAAAAGTATCTACTGAACAAGACATAATTCTCTTGACATAGCTTTGAATGCAGGGCCGAAGTATGGAAAAGAACAATAAATAACGTTCCTACTATCGCAAGGTTGAGGTTGCTTTCATTCCTACTAGCAACCTCACTGAATCGCTTAGACATGAATTTCTTGATTTGGGTATACACCAAACTTACCGGAAATCCATTAAGCGAGAAAATATTTCCTAAAAATTCAAATTCAGCATGCATAGCCTGGTATGTTGAGCAAATGCAAAAACCTCTGTATAATAATGTTTGAAGCCCATTTAACTTGAACCAGAAAGAACAAAAACTAAAGAAACTGGTACTTAGGCCGATGAATGGCGGCTTTTGGAACACAGAAGTTGAAAAACGGCCATTAGATTTCATAATATTGCAATCAAGGAAGGACAAAGTATTATTAGATTCAAGCTCCATGGTAAATGTGATAGAATTATGTTGTGAGTTTAGGTAATCAAAGAATGGTTTGACATGGTAGGGATGTTTGAAAATTAAAAATGTGTCATTGAGATATCTGTTATAGAATATTGGCTTAAAATCAAGAGGACAATTGGCCAGCCAAGAAACCTTGTGAAAATGCATAAAAATATTTGCAAAGGTCGGGCCAAGCGGTAGTCCCATGCCTAAACTGTCAATCTGTCTATAAAACTTGCCAGCAAATATGAAAAACGAGTTAAGAACTGATCATTCTAAAAGAGATTTGAAAAATTTACAGTTTAAACCAAACACAAGATTGTTTACATTTTTAAACAGAGAATTGAGACAAATTTTAATTGTTTTGTGAAGGGGTACATTGGTGAACAAATTTTTTACGTCAAAGGAGGCTATAGTTAAATCCTGAACGTCAGTAATATGTTTCAAGCAATTCACAAACGTGTAAGAATTAACAACAGTATACTGATTAGTTGTAAAATAGTTTAAAACCGGTACCAGAAATTTAGCAAGTTTAAAACTAGGACAACCACACAAGATCGTCCTAGGTCCTAGACAACCACACAAGATCGAACCACAAGAAGATCGTAGCCGCTATGATCCACATGGATCGTAGTCGCTACAACAGTAGCCTAAATGCAATCCTCACTGATCCTTCTGACAGTTTCTGACAGTGACTTTAGGGTGTTAGCTTCTACCTCCGGTACTTCAGATTTGCATATCTTAGAATCATTGTACATTTTTAAGCTTAGGCCTAGTTTAAATTCAACTGTGAGCTCCAATCCCATTGAAATTGTGAATAGATAGGTTTTTATGCCCTATTACTTGTAAATTTAGGTTCTAATTGTGTTCTGTTCTTTCAATTGTATTAACTTGACTTTCTATGTATTTTCTAGATTCTACAAACTGACGATGGAGCTGGACTCCGAAACGTTTTCTATAAAGATATGAATTTTTGTGGACTATTCTTTGCTTTTAAATTTTTACATTAGCATACTGTTACCATTAGGCCATGGAGCAAGATATCTCACAGTGAATATAGTGCTCACTGAATTAATGAGTCACATGAGCTTTGGAATAGAGTTAAAAGCTAATATCACTCTGATGAATGAGACTCATGAGGTGGCATAGTCCAAAACAATGCTATCTTTGTACTGAAACTACTAAGAAATAATTAAGGATGAGAAATAAATATGACAAATTGACATGAACTCAGTTCCTCCTCTGAATAATAACAATTGATTAGCAAGGCACATGGAATCTGGCTTACCTTCAGACTTTAATTTGCTGCCACCAGGAGATGCTTGAGCAAGGCTCTGCTCAGGGCAACTGTCACTCCTGACTGCAGCATCTGAGAGTTGGTGCAGCACAACACTGTCTTCTTTGGTAATGGATGCCATCACCAAATGTGATAGGAATTATGCATGAATTTAGTTGGAGTTTTTTAATGGAGAATGTTTGCAGCAATGGAAATAACACTGGAAGGATATAGAAAATTGTACAGAGCGCATTAGGGGCTCAGAAAAAGGCCTTAATTTCAACACCTGCAACAAAGTTCACTTGTCCTAAGTTACTTAAGTACACAATTGTTTGCTTGATGCATCAACAATCTTTGATGCACATAACTTGGCTATATTTGAATATTGTGTTACATGACAAAGTCAAGGGCGTCGCTGGCCAGGGAGTGTGCCTAGAGGCATTTGTCGCAATAGGGTTTGGAAAACACTGGTTTACTGATGGTCTCCACCTCCCTACAACCTTCTTACTCCAGTTTTCTATTAAATCTTTTACTGCATTTTTATCAAAAAATAATCAAGAAAAAATCCCAACAAGAAAGAACATAGTATGTACAGGAGAATGATACAATAAAAAGAGACCAGTGTAAAACCAAGGCATGAGGTTCTGATTAACCTTGAATAACTCGTAAATCAGTTTGCTAGATTTAACTTAGTCAAAAAGCCTGAAGATAATCAAACATGATGAGTGCACTTAATCCATTACCATTACAGGAATTCATGGTTAGGTCTATGAGTCATTTTTATGAAGTGAGCTTAACAATTACCACTCAGAAATATACTCCCATATCAACTGGTGACAAGCATTTGCACTTCAGGAAAGGGGGTTTGCAAGAACCCCTAGTAGGTATGGCCTACTTCCTTGCAGAGCAACTAAAAGAGAGATTCCCACAACTATTAAACTCACCATCATTTCATCGCATTGATGAGAATCCTCTACTAACCAGTAGGGCAGCACAAATCAATCTAAATTATTTTATTGGACCCACGGGGATCCCTAAATTTACTAGTCACTATAATTGTTGCTATATTGGTTTATTATTCAAATTCAATGTCGTTCTCAAGCAGATCAGTTGTAATTTTTCACCCATACAGATCAAAGACATCCAATCAAACAATAAAATATTTAATGAATTGTTTCAAATTTCTGTAACTTCCTTAGAGCTGAGTTTTTCATCCTTTACATAGGAAAATGGAATCTCATTAGATAACCTATGTTGTGCTTCCCAACTTCTTGGTGCAACATATGGAATAATTACTTAGTTTACAAAAAATGAAGAATCTATATTATGAATAGAAAGTGCAAATTTGAATATTTTTATCATGACACACTCAAGAGACTTTCACACACTGTAGCCAGGTGGTTATTCAGTATTTTTCATCGCAAACCAAATCTGTTATTCATTTGTTTACCCAAAGTATATGTTCTAATTCAATACGAAACATTTCTCTTTATTTTTTTCAGGCACGGGGAAAAATTCCAATAATTATATTATTCATGCATGTGCTTGATCAGTGATATTGTAAAGTTCTAATAGAAGCAGGCAGATTGATGTCCAATGCTCTGACGACTGCAATTGCCTTGGTGAGTGCTTGTTAGAATCCATATTGTACAAAGCTTTTAAAACCAGGTATGTTGGTGTTCATTCAGCTTAATAATTGATTTACTTCATTCTTGCTTATATTATACTTTGAACATACATTTATCCACTTTCTGGCAATGCTTGCTTTTAATCTAAAGAATGTTAATTGCACAATAGTGAGTCGTTTATATGATTTAACTTCAATTGCTTTACTATTTCAATCTTCTAATTTCAATGCTTGCTATTTTATTATGTGAATACCAAACTGTTTTCAATTTACGTATGTGTTTCACCCAATAAGTTGCTGTAATTACCACACTTGCAATAGTGCCATTTACCTTGGTTCACTTTAATCTCCTGTGCGTTCTCTCTCACATTACTCGTGCGTGCTCATATTATCAATTCATTCAAACTAAGTTGAACTTACTGCTTGATTGTTTTGTCAATGCTAAGGGTTTTGGTTTTGATTAACTGCTGTGAGTGAGGTTCTTTTCTTTGATTTTACTTTTATTGATTATCCGTTTTATCTTTTACAGCTCAAATACCTCACTCATGCTCCCAGTGTCTGGTTACATTTCATTCCATTCGCAACTGCATCTGTAATCTCTGCCCCATACTTTAAAAATACATCCATATCCAGAAGAAAACTTTCATTCACCTAAATTGTTGCCAGAGACTAAAGAACCCGACATAAGCATTCCATAGCCCAGGCAACAACACTATAGAGATAAAAATATTGTACAACATAATGTACACATAGTGTTTAAAGTAAATTTCAACAAATAATAAGTTTAATTATTATCAAGTTTTTTTCATGTCCATGTCAAATGTAGAGATAACTGATCATAAGCCAATTCACAAGATACTCCTTCTGCCTCAATATCTTTGTATTAATTTCCATTGAATGTATGGACCAGGCAACTTCAGATTAAGCTTGTCCATACTCCAGATCAAGCTCCTACACATTCCAGGTTAAGCTCCTACACACTCAAGCTGCTGTATAGGCTTGAGATAAGCTGCTCTGTGCGACAGGTTAAGCTGCTACATATGCAGGGTTAAGCTGCTAAGCACGCAGGGTTAAGCTGCTACAAAAGCAAGATTTTAAGGGGAGCATCTGGCCAAAATTTTTTAATTTGGGCTTTTCTGGTTTTCAGTCTCATCTTAAAGCTGATATTCTGCTCTATCCAACTGTACCAAAATCATCTCTGTATGTTGATTTATGCGTTCAGGACAGATCATGAAAGAGGGGAGGGTGGGGGAGTTCGTTAACAAATTAGATAGGAGGTAATACGGTTCCCAGCACTTTAAATACAGTGTCTGCTTGAGTTGCAGCTTAGTTACCCCTTTAGTCTCATCTTAAAGCTAACATTCTGCGCTATCCAATGGTACCATTACCATCTCTGTATGTTGATTTATGCGTTCAGGACAGATTATGAAAAGAGGGAGGGTGTTAGAGTTCTTTAATGAATTTGATAGGAGTTAATTCGGTTCATAGCACTTTAAATACAGTGCCTGCTTGAGGAACAACTCAGTAATCTGCCTGGCTTCACATGAGGAGATGTGCATGCAGTCACTCTCATGATCCTTGATTGGAATCAAGCTCCAGTAATGTTTAGTTTCATATTCTTGCTACATTGAGTGCCTATTGCAATGCACGCGGGACTTTGTTGGGCTGTACTGAACATTCACACTTATTGTCACGGTAAACCTATCTCCTCCTACAGTTTTGAAGCTACAGAGATGAGACATATACCATTCGATTTGCAACTAAAAGATCTATCTATTTATTTTGGAATTTTTTCAATTTCATTATAGTTTTGAAAATATTTTGAAAAAGGGGGGAGAAATAGGGGAAAATAAAAAAAAAGTTTGAAAATTTTGTGAAAAATGCTCCCCCGTCCACCAAAATTCGAATTTCAAAAAACGCCAAGATAAATCGATAGATATGGTCTTCACACATTGAATGATATGTGTCTCAATGTTGTAGCCTGAAAATCCTAGGAGGAGATAGATTTCTACAGTACCCCCTTTTTTGGTCATTTTCTAATAATTTTACATTTTCTTTCATTTTTTTGAAAAATGGAAATGAATAAAGGCTGTCTATTTTTTGGTTTTACAATGGTGTACCAAGTTTCAAAGTGATCCATCTGTGAATAGCCAAGAAAAAAAAAGTGGCCAGATGCTCCCCTTTACAGTCAAATACAATCAAGAAACAAACACCCTGTTTGAACAACAGGTAAATGTGGTCGTTCAGACAGCACCTAATGTATTGATTGTGAGTGCAGCAGGAGGACTACAGCTCGGTTACAAGGGTTGGATACCATCTTGTTCCTGACCATCTGTTCATTGAGATCGATTGAGCCTCCCAGTTCAAGGGATAGTATAACAGCCACCATATAAATAGAATCTATGTTGTTGTAACTCAAGATAACAAAATAAAGGGAATCAGTCCTAAAGCAGTAAAATTCCAAAAGCAGAGAAATAAAATACATAAAAGTAGAATCACTTATATTAAAACTTACATCATTATGGCAGGGCTAGTTTAGCATCAACTAATCATATTCTGTAAAATCAGAAAGCAGGAGCATAAAACAAATGTTGACCCCAGCAAATATTATGAAATATAATAAATCAAAACCATTGCAAGTCTTGCAAGATTAATGAACTACTAGTATAGTCAATCTATTGTACAACTATACTAGAGTATATACTGCAAGCATAAAAAATGTCAGTTAAGATAGTAACCATCAGTCAGTAAGCCAGGATGTAATTGCAACACAGTTACAACCAGGAACTTGACACTCTCACGACACCAACGGTTACCAGCCCCTCATGGAGACTACAAAAAATGGTTACTGAGATTCCAATGAAGTAGCAGTCCCAACAAGCAAGAGCCTTCATTTTCATCTTTCATATCCACACCCCCCCCCCCCCCCCCCCGGCAACTGCAAACTTTGAGGGACAATAAACAACTAAAACCCTCCTCCTTGGTGACAGTGGGTGCCTTGGGTTAGGTGCTCTACCACATAGCTTGGTCCTGTTGTCTCAAAAGATCAAATATTCTGCACTTGATTCCTGTGTCTAGCTCCCTACATCCACAGACATCCTCACACTTGGGTCATTGAAGCAGTTTGTGATAGTCTCTGGAGATTAGATGCTGTTGATACACACATAACATCGTAGATATTTGATAGATTTTTGTATATATATCATCATGCTCGAAGCAGTGAAAGGGCTTTTTCTGTGTGATGCTTCCAAGAAAAATGTATTTTCAAGTCCCCTTTTGTGGTGCAACCATAATCACACTTGGAACAGTGAATAGATTTTTCTCTCGAATGTTTGAAAATAAAATGTCTTTTCAAGTCCCCTTTTGTGTGCAAGCATAATCACACTTGGAACACTGAATAGATTTTTCTGTTGAA